CGCACCATTAAGCAGACAAGACGAGGTAAGGCTACAGTGAGCTCCACAAGGCGGCAGCACTGTAACCATGCCAACCTTGACAAAGCCCTCGTCATCAGAGGCAAGGCAACAGTAACCAGCCCCCGACAAGACCCCCCAAGTGGTGGGGCCGGCCTGTCGACCAATGGGCCGGCAGCCGGCGGGACCCACCAGTCGGCGGGCCCCAAGAGCCGGCGGAGAAACCGACGACTGTAGACGCTGACGGCCTGGACCCACGCCCAGCCGGATTACCATTGTACCCCCAGGGGGTAGGCCTATATAAAGCCCCCGGGACACCCATGCAAAGGGTTGATCTCAGAGAGTTTTAGACACTACCATAGGGAGAGGAAAGAGCTAGCCTTGCCCTTATTCCTCCTCCCACCGAACAGCTCAAGGAGCCACTTGTAGCTTCTTATCGATCTAGTGATCATGCGGAGACCTCGCAAAGCAGGAGTAGGGGTATTATCTCCACGGAGAGCCCCCAACCTGGGTAAGATCCGCCGGCGTGCATGTCTTCACCTTATCCCGTTTCTAGGCACCGGCGATGTCTTACTGGCTCCCACAATGATAAGCCACCCGTTGGCATATGTCGCACCTACCACCCGACAAGTCGCGTTGGACAGATCCTGCCGTCGGCCGGGCGCTGTCCTCCCAGGAGTGGCGGGGTGCAATGCGGATGGCCATTGCGTCCTCCAACCCGCACGGGACGACACCCCAGTCGACGGCTCGGAATGGTCGAAGTCAGATCCGCGAACCCGCCATGCCAGAGAAAGCCAGAGATCGCCGGACAGGAGTTTGGGTGGCGGAGGGGAGTGAAGTGAAGTGGCTAGGATTTGGTCCGGCGAGCGGCTGGGGAGGAATATATGTGGGGCGGGTGGGCCAGCATCGGCCCAGACCGACGTGACGGACGCCCCATATCAGCCTCATATTTGGGCTGGATATGAAGGGTGTTAGTGAGCCTCGACGTTTGAGGGCTGTTTAGGGGCACCCGTCTGGGTCGCATTTTCGTGACCGGTCAGTGAACGGGCAGTCTGCTCGGAAGTTTGAGGCGGGTTTGGGGCGCCCAACTATAGATGCTCTAAGGGGTACATTTTTTGAACACATTACAATGATCACATATCGCACATACACCCATCTCTATGAATGGACACATGTACATCCTACCTCTATAATAACCCTCGAGATATTGAGTCGGCACAACATCATAAGATTGACGAAGTCATCACAAACGACTCGTAGTTGACAGTAACTTCTTCTCCCACTGAACGAACATCGCCGAAAAACCTAAAATAAATTCAGAAAAATGTAAGCATCAGTGTCAAATTTAGGACTTGAACACTAGTGGACTGGTTTATTCTCTCCGTCTTTGTTTAGATCGTCTTCTATCGGACCCTTTACTTTGGACCATATTTCGGTGAACATTCTGCACACTGCTCGAATAAATAAAAGCTAGCCAACCAAACTTTTTGAATCCAGTTCATATATTCGGTATGTTTTGCATTTCTCATACCCAACTCATGTTTAGAGGGCAAATTTAGGGTCTTCGAGACATTTTCGTCATGCTGGACCCAGCAGGCTGGACCCACCCTAAATCCCTTCAAATTGGCAAAATCCACCAAATCAACTATTGTCTCATGCGTTTGTCCTTTCTTTCCCATGTTTGTGTCGTCGTCACCTTGCTCCGCCTCTACGCCTTCGACCTCCTCCTCTGTCCTAGCCATCGACGCCCACTCTGTCGTTCGCCAACACCGTGGAGAATGGCTCGGCGGAGTTCGTAGGGATCCTTACCATCATGAACAAGGCGGAGACCGTCACCCGCAGGGACCGATGCACCCGATAGCGCGCCTCGTGAGACATCCTGAATGACATTCAAGCCTGACGCCGTTCCGGTTTCGCAATGGTCGGCATCCCGAATGGATTCACGCCAGAAGCGGACGACTCCGCATGTCCACTAACCGTCCGAGGAAAGTCTAAAACAAAATATGCAAGCCTTTTCCTGCCCCATGTGCATTTATCGGATCAAACTTAGGATGGTAGTTGCATTGTGATGTATATGTAGGGCTTATTCATGGTGGATTTGATAAACAACGGTCAAGAAACTCCAACTTATAAGATGGGTGATACTATTCCCCTTTCGATATTGGGAGTCATCGGACATTGCCTTCCCTTTTCGAACCTAGCCAGAGATCCCGTCGTCAGATCGCAATGAAATCACAAGGTCGTTACATACAAAATTTCTCACAACCCCTTCAAAAGGATTAGCAAAATGTTTCTCAAAGAGGCGAGAGCAATGTGAACAATTTAGTTGTTCATGTTGTTCTTCACATGGTCGCGGGAGGGCAACCTAGAGGTTGAGCCCTCGAGCTCCTTGGATGAAATTTCGATGATCTCTGAGCAAGATCAAAGTAGAAGTTGATGAAGACTCTAAGGAAACTCCGTCGTCTGGTTGAAAGTCGCGTTCGCGGAGTTGCAGAGCGTCGAGTTTGTCGGCGATGAAGATCAAAAGCCATCTATCATGGTTTCGACACATGCAACCCTTATTTGGTGCACCAACTTTCATGGTAATTTTCTGACAACACCCATCTGAGGATAGCAGACGCGTTAGAGATCCGGATGATGCAAACAAGGAAAATTAACCAGGTTCGGACCGTCGGATCGAGGTAATACCCTACCTACTACTTGTCTCACTAATTATCTTGCTTCATATGAGAACTAGGGTTTCGTGTTTACAAGGGGTCGATCACAAAATTGTCTTGGAGGCAAAGCCTCATGTGTCTCCTAGAATCAGGTGTCTATTGGTGGGGGGTGGTCCTTGTCGAGCCTTATATAGGTGGATTAGGCAGGGTTACGAGTTCCGAGTCAGCCAAGGAGCTGGCCTAATAAACTAGTATATGTTGTATCCAGACGATCTCTAGCCTAATTGGGAGAGGAGTTTTCGTCTTGTCACCCAAGGTGATGATGCACTATTATCGTTGGCCTTGTCCTCCGCAGCTATGCCTAGGGGCAATGGCGTCGTCATCTAGATCCAATTATTGGTAAGAGTAGAGCTATATCTAAAATGCAAAATGGTAGCTTTATTTTGTCGTGGTTTCACTCCAGAAGATTTTTGAAAAAAGAATTTGAAGCATCACTTTTATTTTGTTTTGCCTAGACCTCCACGGATGTAATTCAATCATGAATATTTGTACACATGTGAAACACTCGCTGATGTTTGTTCACAAAAAAAAATAGATTTTATTGAATGTTTTTACTATTTTTTTATTGAATGTTTTAATATTTTTTCTCCTAATTTTACTGTTCATCCAGATGCATGTGAGCTCGGACCCGAAGAACACTTTCGCCTGTTTTGTTGTTGTTGAGAATAACACTTTCGCTTGTTATCTTGGTGCACTATATATGTTCCACGGTAATTGTTCGCTTTGCTCTTCCCCTATGCCAAAATTCCGGCTCCGCCCCGCAACTACCACAGAAATCAGATTCCTCTGATGAACCAACTAAACTCCCCAAAATAGCCACATTTATCTCGTACCACATTGACGTAACCTGTTAAACAACTAAACACTGCACCCACTCTCCTAGAGAGAAACATTCCAGACAAACGAAACCCACGGCACACGTCTAACGGGGTCGTGGGCTGCCGTCCACCTCTCCGGGGTCTACACGGACAAGGACGCCGTCCCGGAGACTTGTTGGCAGCGCCACGGGCGGCCACCGCGCCTGCCCGCCCGGGCAACTCGCCACCGCCGCACGTCTCCGCTTGTGGCGCAGGGCGAGAGATCCACACTCGCCCGGAAAACTCTCCACGCTTCCCCGTCGGAAACTGACAAGCGCGAGCTCCTCACCGCCGCGGAAAAAAGATCTCTCCTTCTCCGATGCTGCGCGCGCCTCGTGTCTCCCCGAGGCGAGGCGATGAAACGAAACCAGAGAGAGCAGGAGAGGGAGACGTGGGCGGTGGGCTCGCTCGCCTGGATATTCCTGACAGCAGGCTCGATCGACAACAGACGTGGGCGAGAGATCCCGGTGCCGGGAAGGAGCAGTTCGAGAGGCAGACGTCTCGACACACGCGCGAGCAGGAACCACTCCATTTTCTCTTGATGTTTTCCTTTTATCAGCCTTTTTTTTTCTGTGGATGTTGTGTGCGAATGCACCGTGCACGTCTTCCTGTTCCTGCCGCCACTGGTCTAACTGAATATGTTGACTGGCCCTTTTCTGACGTAAAACGTGGAGTAATTCTTCACTGGTGCCAATCCATCAGCTGTGCAAATGAACACTACCATGAGATAAGATCAATGGCTCCCCTGCTGCTATTTGGGAAGAAATATATATCACTTCTATGATGATCTTGCAGAAACTTTTGAAGAATCTATTTTGTTTGAAGTCAGACGGTGTCAAGTTTGTAAAACATTATGAAGAACTACGATGCCGAATTAGTATCATTAGATACACACAATAAGGTATAATTCCATATTATATATATTTAGTGGTGTAGGTGTTGATTATCGTTTCTACATACATGGTGAAATTATGCACCGTTTGTTTGACTTCAGACAAAAGTTATAAGCTCTGGTTTCAGAGAGGCAGAGGCTTGTTCGATCGTAGTAGAATACAAAGAAACAACCTTAAAGATGTCAAACAGCTCAAGGTGATTTAGATTAGCTGTCCCAAGAAAAGAAAAAATGATGAGTTAAAAGCACTCAAGTCTGCTCTCAACGAAAAATACATTGATGCTGTCATGATTTTAGGAGAGGAAAAAAGTTGGGAGTAATCAAATTGCTATAAGCTCATTGGATACAAAGAAAACATTCTTTTACAATCCTCAAAACAGCACAAGGATTGAGGAACATGTATGATCTACAGACGGCAGTGCAAGAATGAACAACTCAAAAGCAAAGATCCCAACACAACCCAATTTTATGCCTGACAGAAAATGCCGCGCATCCGCAAAAGTTTGTTGAATTCCCCACAGCTCCTGTGGAGAGGAACTAGGCGATCGCGGGCATGTCCTTGAGCCACGCATCGAGCGGCTTGCCGATGGAGTAGACGATGAAGCCGATCCCCCTGAGCTTCTCGGCGTCGACGACATTGCGCCCGTCGAAGATGAAGGCCGGCTTCTGCATGTTGTCGAAGATCTTCTGGTAGTCCAGCTCCTTGAACTGGTTCCACTCGGTCAGGATGCACACGGCGTGGGCTCCCTTGGTGGCCTCGTACGCGTCCCACACCACGCTCACCTGCTTTATAGCCGATGGGCTCGCCGGCTGCAGGTGCATGGGGTGGTCCCAGTCGAACTTGTTCATGGCAAGGTCCCGCTGGATCTGGTCCTCAGTGACCTCGGGATCGTAGATGCTGACATGGGCCTTGTCACCCAGCAGGCCCTTGCACACGTCGATCGCCGGGGTCTCCCTGGTGTCACCGGTGTCCTTCTTGAAGGCAAACCCGAGGATGGCGACCTTCTTGCCGGAGACGGTGTTGAACATGGAGGACACGACACGGTTGACGAACCTGCTCTTCTGGTAGTCATTGATCTTGATCACCTGCTTCCAGTAATTGGCCACCTCCGGGAGGCCGTTGCACTCGCAGATGTACACCAGGTTCAAGATGTCCTTCTGGAAACAGGACCCGCCAAACCCAACGCTGGCGTTCAGGAACTTGGGGCCGATCCTGGAATCCTTACCGATGGCGTAAGACACCTCGGACACGTTGGCGCCGGTGGCTTCGCAGAGCGCGGACATGGCATTCACGGAGGAGATCCTCTGGGCCAAGAAAGCGTTGGCAGCGAGCTTGGAGAGCTCAGCAGACCACAGGTTGGTGGTGATGATGTTCTCCTCAGGAACCCAGTGGGCGTACACCTCCTTGAGAGCCTGAACCGCCTTCCTGCCCTCGGGGGTCTCCCGGCCACCGATAAGCACTCTGTCAGGCTTGAACAGGTCCTCGATAGCTGTGCCCTCGGCCAGGAACTCCGGGTTGGAGAGGATCTGGTAGTTGATGCCCTTGCTGTTGTGGGTCAAGATCTTCTCGATGGCCTCTGCGGTCTTGACAGGGACAGTGGACTTCTCAACGACGATCTTGTCAGACTTGGACACGTCGGCGATCATACGGGCAGCGCTCTCCCAGTAGGTGAGGTCGGCAGCCTTGCCGGCTCCCAGACCACGGGTCTTGGTGGGGGTGTTCACTGAGACAAAGATGATGTCGGCCTCAGCAACGTGCTTCTCGACATCAGTGCTGAAGAAGAGGTTCTTGCCCCTGCACGCCTTGACAACCTCGTCAAGGCCAGGCTCGTAGATCGGGAGTTTGTCGCTGTTCCAAGCGTCAATGCGAGGCTTGGAGATGTCAACAACAACAACCTCAATTGCTGGGCACTTGACGGCAATGACAGCCATTGTTGGGCCGCCGACATAGCCAGCTCCGATGCAGCAGATCTTCACCATCTTGTCCGCTTAACCTGGGATCACAGAGAGTGGATCTTTAGGGGACTGTAAAACAAGAAGTGAAAACTATTACTTAGATCAGACATAGTTAAGACATTTCTGAGTCAACAGAAGTAATGAAGATTCAGATCCTAGTGTGGAAAAGGGTTGACACGACAGACACATACAAAGCCAGGTTCTAACAAAGCCGCCCCAATAAATTCAGTAAACAGTCAGATATTGGCAACTTCATAGCATCAGTTAACTTGAGGTGGCAAAAATAAAATAAACTATGTGCCTTTTGTTGCAGACTACGGGGTAATGCGTATGACAGAATTTATGCAAGGAGAATGGCAGACTAAAGAATATCACAACAATCATCCGAATCACCGGCCATGGGAACGATCAGTAAAAAGAAAGGTAATTCTGAACTAAAAGCGGTTAAGTAGAATAAATTCATGACATCAATGAATGCGAGTCAGGTTACCATATCAAACCAGGACCAGATCAGCAAAGTCAATGGATCCTAAGCAAACTCTGAGATCTGAAGACTCTAAGTATCTTCAGAAAACATGAGAAAGGCCAACTACAGCATGGAACCACACTCCTTACATGATGGATGAGATATCAGACTACAAACTAAGTGAAAATTGATGCATGGATCAGGGAGAGGCTCACCAGATCTCAAGAGCCGAGGGAGATCTTGACAAGCACACTGCCGCAGAGAAGAAACAGAGAGAAGCTGCGTGCCTACAAGTTGTGTGCAGAGAGAAGGCCGCAGCTCCTTATATACCACTCTCCACACTGCCCACACCGTGTTGGATCTACCCCTCCCCACCCCACCCCCCTTGGAGGAAAAAAAACGTGGCAAGGTTGGTGAGAAATCATGACAGACAGACTAGCAGGTGTTTGTTGCATCTTACGGCAAAGTGCTCTGATGCATGCCATCCATGAGCCCACCGGACTCCCATTAATCAAGCAAGCGAAAAAGGCCTCCACATGAGTCCATGACACACCACCAACCTCTCTACTTTGGCCACCGGAGTCTAGATGCATAAACAAAAGATGATGCGCTGTTAACAGCATGTGGTCAGATCTGCAGCTTCCACCACCCTACTCTATCTCCCGATCTCTGCTACCTTTCCACACACACACAACTAATCAGGGTCAAGGCATGGGGAGCACTGAGCAGACATGGCTGTGTACATACATGTAGCCCATGAGGCCATGAACGATAACAATGTTAGCTCCACAATCAGTGAGGTTAGAACCATGCATAATGCACCCCACAGTTTTTTGCAGAAGTTGCACTGGGGTGCAAGAAGACACAGGCCAGATTCAGCAAGCTGACCCTGATGCTTGTCTCGGTCAGGGAACTCGGGGTGGATTTGATTGTTCAGGGCAGAATTGACGGCAAAACGTACGATTATCCGATGAAAGGAAAGGTAGGGCTTCCATACCAGCAAAAGGAGTAGCGCCGGCCCGGACCACGCCAGTTTGGACTGTTCAGTAAGCAATGGCGACCGGACCACGCTCCGGACTGTTGAGCGGAGCCGGAGAGGACGGGATTACGGGGGGAACCGAGTTCCTCGGGTTCCAGGTGGCAGGCGCGCAGCGGCGTGTGGCGGGGGCCGGGGCCGGAGGAGGGTGGGGGGCGTCGGCGGCAAGGGACGCCGGGGTTGGTGCGGCGGATCTGGGAATACAGTTTTTTCTTTTCTTTTACAGCGGCACTAGGGAGGCAAAGGTACGGAGCGGATGTAAGAGCAATCCAACGGGTCGAGAACGGCGATTTCGTCCGATTTCTATCCGTTTGGATCGGCCGTCCGCCCGGCGTCCGTCCTGTTTTAGATATGGGTTGATAGGGCATCCAATGCGCCGATTCATATGTGCCGGCGGCTGTCTATGTTTTTTTGCATGATTGCGTAGCTCAAAATAAAATCGTTTTGGACCGAATAAAATAGTATAGTTTATTACAAGCCAAATGAAAATAAAAAGGTTTCACATAGTTTTGCAAAACGAATAAAAGAAGATATATCTATTGATTGCCAACATGAGCCCACATATGTTTAACCAAATCATTTTGCAGTTGCACGTGAGTTTCCCAATCACGCATGTCTTCATGAAGTTGGGTGAACTATTAAAACATTGCCGCTACTCCATACTCAGGCACAACATTCTCACCCTGAAACTGAAAGCCTTGAGACGTTCCGGGCGCTCGTCTTCTACGATCATATTATGCATGTTCACACAAGCAGTCATCACCTCCCATAGTTTCTGCGTGCTCCAGGTATTAGCAGGATACCGAGCGATGCCCCATCGAGATTGCAAAACACCAAAGGCACGCTCGACATCCTTCCTAGCACTCTCTTGCTCTTGGGCAAATTTTTTTCTCTTCTCTCCGGCAGGGTTGGGTATTGTCTTGACAATAGTGGTCCACAGAGGATAGATACCATCACCCAGATAGTAACCTTTGTTGTAGGTGTGGCCGTTAACAGTAAAGTTTACCGGTGGGCTGTTGCCTTCGGCAAGCCTAGTAAACACCAGCAAGAGCTGAAGCACGTTGATATAATTGTGTGATCCATCCATGCCAAAAAAGAGTGCCAGATCCAGAGATCTTGAGATGCCACGGCCTCAAGTATGACAGTGCAAGCCCTGACATGGCCCTTATACCGCCCTTGCCAAGCAGAGGGCAGCTCTTCCACTCCCAATGCATGCAGTCTATACTACCAAGCATCCCTGGGAAGCCCCTGCTGGCATTCATCGCCAACAAACGGGCTGTATCTTCAGCAGTCGACTCTCTTAAATACTTAGGGCCAAACACAACAATAACAGCCTTGCAGAACTTATACAGGGACTCTAGGCAAGTAGACTCGCTCATACGGACGTACTCGTCAATGAGACCACCGGGCACTCCGTATGCAAGCATTCAGATGGCGGCAGTGCATTTCTGATACGAGGAAAAATCAATCTTGCCAATGGCATCCTCTTTGCACTCGAAATAGTCATCATAGCCGACCACCCCCTCTCTAATATGGTTGAAGACATGCCTACTCATATGGAAACGGCGGCGGAATTTCTGATGTTTGAACAACGGGTTTGTTGTATCAAAGTAGTCCTTCCAAAGAAGGAAATGCCCGCTCTCTCGGTTGCAATTCAACGCCGGAAGGTGGCCCGGAATGGAGCCACGGAACAATGGCCGCTGGCTGTTGAGGTGGTGATGGACCAACACGGCAGCCAATATCTCCTCCTCGTCATCGGAGGACGAATCGTCAGAGTCACAAAGAAAATTGTCAAAAAAGAACTCGTCGGCGAAGTCCATTTTGTACCTTGGCAAACTGTCGAACAACTTGCGGGCTTCGCGAAGGAGATGGCCGGCGAAGGGAGTCGCGGCGCGCACGGACCAGTTGTTGTCTTGCCGGCGTCCGACGAGCGTGCTGGCTTCCGACGAGCG